CGTTGACCAATTTGGCCAAAGAGATCGCTGCCATCGAAGAGAACAAAACCAAACAAAGCACTAAAATTACAATTTGCGATAAACTTCCCATTCAAGTGAACCCTAAACCTGTGCCCATGGAATGGGTCGCGCCCTCCAAAGCCATCGAGAATATTATGGAACAAATCGCTGATATGTGGAGCCGAGAGAAGCCAAAGGCTTCGCCCGATGTGTCGACGCCTATAAATAAAATGAAGAAATCGTAAGAATTTTAGCATTTAATTCACTTAAACTTATTTTACTAATTGTTTCTTTTCTTCTAAAAGTGTCTCAAAAATATTGATTTCTCAAAACTCGCCATTCCTTCGGACGCCAATCGCTGATAATAAAAGCGGCAAAAAAGGCAAACAGTTATCCAAAACAGTTTATCCTACGCCTAAAGCCATTGAATTGAACGACAGGAGTGCCGCCAAACACAAGTCTAAAGCGAATGTCGAGCCCTCGACGCGAACCAGAAGTGCTTTAAAAGGAGCGAAACAAACGAATCAAATGAATTCAACGCAAAACGAATTACTTTTAGTCCTCGAAACGCCTCAAATCAAACACAAATCGTTGTCCAATAAAAGCAAAACTAATTTAGACGTGAGTTCTGTGGGAAACTATTTCACTCCGACGTCAATACTTAAAGTCAAACAATTGATGAGACGATCTGTGAGTCCATCGCTCACATCGCCATCCATTTCGACTAAAAGTACTCCGAATAAGACATTAGAGTCGACTACACTTCAGCAGAGACTCCGGTTTTCAGGAATTCCTGAAAATTCTTTCACTGAAGACAGCGTTGAAAACGCAAGATTAGCGACAGTTAAGGACACGTTTCTATTGAAGTCATTGAAAACTACTTGCGAACCAATCGAAGACTTGGATGAATCGGTTCCAATGGATGTCACAAATCAAACCAATCTCATTGAATTTGATACCACTTTGACTGAAACCAATGTTAAATCTGGTGTAGAGACACCAGAAATGAGATGTGGTTTAGATATCCAGCAAATGAGATCTGGTTATGTCTTCTCTCCCCCACAGACCCGCTCTTCAGCTAAAAAAATACAACAAAGTATTTAAACATTTTTTTATCTGCTGTTTATTTAACTAATTATTGACTATTTGTTTATAGAGAAAGAATATAAAAGTGTTGAAATTGAGATGTTATCGGAAACGGGAGATAAGCCTGAGTTTGCATTCTCTGCATTAGAGGAACAGAAAAAGCCGGCAAAACAGAAGAAGAATAAACCCAAGAAAGATAAACAGAAAAAAGAGATACCAATTGGTAATTGTTTTATTGATTCTGTTTATAAAAATAATTATTTATTTATCAATTGAATTGTATAACAGAATCGGTGGAAATGGTAGTCGAAGCGGAAGAGTCACTTCCAGCAACTTCTCAAGAGTTAACTATTGAATCGCTGGTTAGAGAGACTCCGAGTCGATCGCCAACACCCGCCTCGTATGTGGAGGACTCGGACGGGAAGAGTGATGTATCGCAGGTGTCATCCAGTAAGGCGTCCACACGTTCTTCGCGTTCATCGAGAACTCCAACCAAAAAGTAATGCAATAATAATTGCTTTTATTAACTAATTGTTTATTACTATTAATATTTATTTGATTAACAGAACGGTTAAGAAAGGATCGGTAGAAACGCCAACCCATTCAATGAGACTCAGAAGAAGCACTTCTAAACCAACCAAATAATAATAATTACAACAATTGAAATGTTTTCTAATGAAAATCCCTTACAATTATCACTTGTATTGTTTCGCTTCTATTATAACACGTTTTAGTTTAGATAATGATTTAAAATTGTCACATATTTATAGTCTTTTTTTACATTTAATTAAATAAATAAAATTAAATAAAAACTTTATTTTACGCAAACTTTGCTGACATTTGTGTCCAAAAAGAAGACGTTATTAATTGTCATGAGTTTTGATGACGTGTTTTGTGGCAATAAGTCTGAAACGACTGATGAGTTGTTCAAAGTTTTTTCATTTCAAGTAAACACTTGTCTTGAGATATAATCGCTTGAATCGGGCGACCATTGGATCAGACGATGGCCAACACCAACACGTTTCAGGACTTTGTGGAGAGCGCCGAAGATGTGGACGGAATCCGCTTCGACTGGAATGTATGGCCGCAGACCAGAGTAGAGGCCGC